GATGATCCTTCTGGTATACGTTGGATCAATAGTGATCTAATCGGCTTTACATATAAAATGAAGAATACAAAAGCAAAAACCGACACAACGTAGGATGATATTTTGAAGGTGTACTATATTTCGGCTGGCCAAACCAGCCTTCTTCAGGTACAATGGAAGATTTTATATTGGTAGGTGTTTTTATGTATATCGGCTACATAAAAACACGTACCAATGTAAAATCTTTCATTGTACCTGAAGAAGGCTGTTTTGGCCAGCCGAAATATAGTACACCGTCAAAAAATCATCCTACGTTGTGTCGGTTTTTGCTTTTGTATTCCTCATTCTTACCAACGATTCTTGCTCCCCGAAAGTAACAATCGCTCGAAAGTGACGACTCCCCCCCCCCAAAAGTAACAAGCACCCAAGGCTGCTAATTCCGAAAGTAACGAAAGTCGAATTTTTTTAACATCAAAAAATAGGACCTGGTTATAGTATAAAGCGCTTGCTTGTTTCCTTTTTTTCTCACTCCTCCCCTTGCACTATTTTTTTTCAGCGTTTTTTGCTGTACAGGAATTTCTTTTTGGAAATTTCCCAACCCTCCTCCTCCACCTCTACAAATAATGGATGGGCTCCTGACGCGTGATTTCATTGGCTACATTTTCATCAGTTCCAAGCTGGTTTCTTTTTCGTAAATGTCTCGTGTTGATTTCTGAATAAAACTGTTTTATGACAGCCCCCACGGACCTTCAGAAAATTTGAAACTGGCTTACTGAGAGAACTAGAATTTTCCATGAAATTCTTCATAACCAGGAATGGGCTCCTGTCCATAACGAAACACACGAATACTAGGAGAAAGAGAAAACAAACAGCGGTTACAAACATAACAAACAGGTTTCACATGGTAGATTAAACTTGACGTTTCGTATGCTACAACATACACGAATACACGAATACTAGAACTGATTTTATAAGTCTCCCCCAAAGTTCCCATAGCTTAAATTTATTGAGGTCGGTAGGTGATGTAAATGGAACAGTCTTGGTAAAATACCAACCAGTGGATAATTCCGGGAAAGCAAACAGTGCTAAGTTAGTGCAAATCTTAGACCAAGAATCTGGCCAATCAAACGATATGTCTTCAGAGCCAGCTTTTCTTCAATTCGAGTTAAGTCTCCGCCGGCTAAGAAGGATAGGTGATCCTGGGGACGAGCATGCTTCGCAACAAACGAAAAGCGAAAAATTAGTAACTGCATCATTTGCAGCCCATATCACGTGCATGATTTTTCAATATCGATTGACAGTTTGGTCGATGCAAAAACTATTAGTCGATCAAATAGATCCAAAAACGACTCAAATTATTTTTAGAAAACGATCTCGACATTTATTCGCTGAAAGGAAGACGAAGTTGCAAGGACTTTAATTTGTCACTGGGAAAAACCCCTTAAGAATGCTGACCCAGTTTTCAATTCATGTATAAAATCTTATCCTTTTATGGATACTGCTCATAAATATCTGCGTATCAGCTCAGATCAGATGTATGACCGACTTACTATTTTTCTCGAATGAGTAAGCGCTTTCAGTTTCCAATCCCGTCACGTCTAGAGCGCTGACGGGAATAAGAAAAGTAAAGTATTTATATATACAGGTGTGTTGGCCAGGTATATGTACAGGCAAGTATACACAGGTTAAATCAATATATATAGAAACGACGCTGGTTCAGGCTCCTTATTCTTATAAACACTAGCTGGTCCGCTGCGTTCATTCGACTGTGACTCCTTACTTTTGCGACAACAAAGACAAAATAATTAAGGAATTCTTTTATTATTCTGATGTATTAAGAACCTGATCATACAATACGCTGTTGAGTGGCAACCTAATGTCATCTGGAGCTGGTCTTGATCTCTCAAGCAATGCTCCTATCAGTCAAATGAATGTAAGACAACTTCAAAGGTGTGTACTAAATAGTTATTTTGCTAATATGTCTAGCTTCAGCAGATTGGTAAATTTCAGTTTGCGCGATAAGTAAGTTCAACGGTTCATTGGTGATTAAATTACCTTGGGATTTGAGTTCTCGCTTATCAATATCACCAGCCGATAAGGACTTCCGTTCTCCACCTCACCTCAGGCTGTGTTTTCCTTCAGCTGTTTTCCTCCCGTGGGTCTCCTAATACGTTAAAATACATATTTGATCTAAGGATGTCATTTCAATTTCTGTTTTATATTTTTCAGCAATTTGCTGTCATAAGGATGGTGATGGGATTCATTTTCGAATTTGTTAAACGCCGCGTCAGCAAAGAGAAAATTCGGTTCACTGAGAACGGATTTGATCTCGATCTTACTTGTATCCTTTCTGGGAAGTTTTAACCATTTTATAAATATCACTCGGTTAGTTGCAGGTTCGGGATTCAATTGTCAAGTTTGCGGGTAGTTTCGAGGGATTACGGGACTCTCCCACCCAGGTTTCCTCCTTTACGACCATATTTGGGCAACAGACCTTCGGCATGTGGCAAAGATGGCGGACTGCTCGTAAAATGTGACTGGGTATTTAGCTTTATTGCTGTAGTGTGCGGGGGCATCTTGCAGTTTCAGACATAAGAATCCGTACAGTAGTTATTGGATTATGAGTCTGTGGAAAAACAGCTACAAGTAAAGGACAGAAGTCAGTTTTTGAAAAGATTTTGTGAGTCGTTCGATTGGAGGCACCCGTGGAGTGTGTTGAAACCTTTCGTACAGGAGATGTCTTATTTTAAAGCTCTTGTCAGCAAGAAGAAACGCCGGTTTCAGGAAGATGGGTTTGATCTAGATTTAACATGTATCCTTGTTCGCATGAGTTATACTTCCTTGACGATGTTATGTACTTAAGTTTTAACAGTCGGGACATAATTGCATAAACAACTGCTTCCATTCGCGCGCTCACTAAACCAAACGATTGAACGATTGGGGAATAAGTAAAAAGTACGTGCTTTGTCAGAAAATTAAACTAAACGTTAAATGACGCAGTTTGAGATATAGGCTGATATCAATGTTACGCCAGTTTATTCACGATCTTTGTTTAAATACAAACTGTCTCCTCATTTTATGCAAGATAATCTCATTTCAGTTCATTTGTGACCAGATTGCATCTCGAGATCTTCCAGGTCACGTTTATATGGCTGGCGTTCTGTCATTCTTTTCAGAAGTTTTGTTTTACGATTTTGCATCGGTGATTCATTATGGCTGTCTTCCTTTTTGGCTCACGGCTTAGAAACAAAGCTGAACAAGTTGTTTTGTTTCCAAGGTTAAGCTTAAAGCTTCCGGTTTCCGTTGCGGAGCTTTTAAGGGTAAAGAACTTTCTAAGTAAAACTCCACTGTGACAACGTAATCAATATTTGCATAACGGTTGTTAATGTTGTGTGAAGACTTGATTAGTTAATCTGGTGTTCCATTATTTTTTCTAATGTTGAACTCTTAAATTTCAATGTGGGAGTGATACACCAGGTTTGAGTGAATATGAAAAATACCTAGGGACAAAATGATTCCAACGCAATTCAGATACGTCCAGAATATAAGTTTATGTGAGAGCTATCTGGCATGTGATTCACTGCAATGTCAGTTTGTGGTTATGAAGGGGAAATCTTATATTAGTCAGGCTTGTTTTTGCCCCTTCAGCACCCTGTTATAAGGAATGCCCATTAACGTTTACTTATTAAGCTTTGCTATGTGTGTCACCTCGAGGATTACATGTAGATGATAAGTTATACTTTCAAGGTTCTCATAAGCAACCACTGTGGGAATTTGAAAAACTGTCAAATCACAGAATATGCCAAAATGTGGTAAGAACATCAGTGATACACTTGGCTATCACCTTGTGTGTCACTTGTTTGTTCATACCACATTTTGATGTCATTTATGATCAGTTACAGAGCAGACACACAGGAACTTGGAATCTATTTGTTAAATTGGGATAGTCAGGGAGTTGTATATTATGTGTAAAGTGTTAACTTATACATGTACTAATCAGAAACATTCTTCGCTAGTCACTCACCAGAGTTGAAAAACAAAGGAAAAGACCAGCTGATATTTACAAAAAGGTGACTGGGGTCATTTATGCCAGCAGTCACTTACAAGAGGTTTTTTGAGTTTTTGTGACTGTCCAAACTGGGCTTCACAGTCAAAGATAAGAGCTGGCCACCCACAAGAATGGTCACAACGAGAGCTTTGATTAAAAATGATAAGCATGGTAGACAACGATGTGAACTGGGCATTTGTTGAAAGAAGCTGCTTGGAAAAATGTTTTTAGAGTTCTTCTGACATGGGTAAACTATATATGACCTTCTGCAACGCAGGCAGGACGCTCTTACTACCACTGAGATACACTGAGGGTTGTGAGAGTGACAGTCATATAACTAATATAATCTAATGTAACAAACTTCCTGAACCTGCTATGATTAGCTCTGTTGATGTGTTAGGTTTTGTTGGTAGAAATTTATGTATTTCCTTTGCAGTTATCTTATCATTTACAGACCACTATAAGTTGGTGGACTGATTTATTTAGAAAAAATACACAATGTTTGTGGTGTGCTTTCCTTGTAACTCTGGGTTACTGTAAAAGGATATTTTCCATGCCAGTTGAACATAAGTTACGTAATCTTTTCTTTAACTTGCACTTTTCAAAGATATTAAACCCAACATAGTGGCAATGGGCTTCCCTTCAGACAATCTTGAAGGCGTGTACAGAAACCACATAGAAGAAGTTCTAAGGTAATGTATAGAGTAGAACCCAGGGACGGATTTAGGGTGGGTGGATTGAGTGGCTAGCCACCCCCCTTTTGGAGAAAAAAAATGAAAAAGATTGTGAATATTATGGTAGAAATATAGGCAAATACTCTGGACTGGTACCTTATTGTAATTTCTATTTTGTGGCTTTGGTAAGTTATTTCCGGTATAACAGTTTTCAAATAGGTCTCAATTCTCAAATTGCAACATTTGGGAGAGATGCCCAATTGATTCTACAATCCCAAGGTACCAGCCACCTCCCTTGAGAAATCCTAGATCTGTCCCTGGGTACCATTTGACCATTCACTCTCTGAACATTTCTCTCAGAACACTTTTTTTCTGAATGCCATTCTATAGTGGATGTTAACACAAGTGAGCAATAAATCTGACGTATTGACCAGGTGTGAGCTCAAGATACAATGTGGATATGGAAAATATGTCACTCAGGGCCCCAGATGTACTGTAGTTTCATATGAATTTTATGAGTGACATATTTTGCAGTAAAACACTTGTGTCGTATTACAGTCGTGTAACAAATGGATTTCTTTGTTTGCAGGTTTTTAGAGACAAGACATAAAGACCACTACAAAATATACAACTTGTAAGTAACCACAATGTAATTTGAGCAAGTTGAATTCTTGGTTTAAACATTTAGCCACATTTCAAGTTCTGTTCATATAACAGTCCAAAAAAGAGCACTTAAAATAATTTTCCCAGCAGCTGAGACTTACTCAGAGACCCTCCAGCTGGCTAAATTAACAATACTGGTTGATAGGAGAAAGAGCATCTGTTTTAAGTATATGAGTAACATGAAGCAGAGTGATCCTCCTCTGTTTCACTTACTACATGTACCAAAACCCATTGTTGGTAGTTGTCATTACAATTTACATGTACAATTATACTTGTTTAAAAACTTACTATTTTTGTAGAACGAGGAGAGCTGACTCTGCTGAGGAATTTTTACATACAAATGTCTCAATTAGTTAATCGTTTGTATAATTAGATTAGTTAGATTTATTTAATATTATTTCTTATAAACCTAGCTCATTAATTCAGTCTAAGACTGCCAGAGAGTTGAATAAACTACTTCTACTACATATATAATTTAATGATTTTCTTTTGTTTGGTTTGCATACACATGTATCTCAACTTCTGAAACCGTGACATGATTCAAATAATTATTTGAAATTAACCCAGATGGCATGCATAACCCTGCTAACAGGGCACCATGCAAGGAGTTATCAAGTTAGTTTAGTATTGAAAAAAATACATGAATTCATAGCATACATGGGTGCAGTAGAGATGTTTTTGCACCAAGTGGCCTGTTTGAATCAATGACTTGAGAGCAGATGAGGTTCCTGCGTGGTGTAAGCAGTGCATATTGACACCTTAGTCTCATCTTTTTGTTTTGTGTATGTTCAGGTGTTCAGAAAGACATTATGATCCTGCCAAGTTTAACAACAGAGGTGAGGCTGTTATTGTCAATGCTGTTGTCATCAAAATGGAGTATATAGCTGTATTTTAAATGATCATTTCAACTTGAAATTTTTCTTTGAAGC